GGTTTGAGTCTTCCAATGAGATTTGTTGCAAGTGTGTAGCTGTTTCACACACGTTCCAGTGAAGTGTCTGGTCTCTGCACTGGGTAGCATAGAAATAGAGCACTTTGCCATAAAAAGGAGTATCCCTAGCAGGGGTTACCAAAACCACATCTACTCATTACAGTGTTGAAATTGCAGCACTGAATCATACATGGAAGTCAGAAATCACAGTTATATAAAATTTTTGCTTTAACAATGATAAATTCAATATAAAATTTTACAGGCCACATCCCTGAGATAGAGCGCAGACAATGCTGAAAACCAAGTAAGATAGAATGAAGGTGGAGGAAATTTGCAGCTTGGCTGTATGACAGTTTCTAGTAGTACACAATCATGCAGAAATGTAGCATAATACACAGCAGAACTTGCTGTAAAAAAAAGTCAGGGAGCAGTCAGGCTCCTTACCTTCTTTAAGGCAGGAGGAGCATGCAGGCACAGAATATTCCTCACACAGTGCAAAGGCGTGGGCAGATTTACTGGGATTTGCTGTGCCCTTTTACTTGGTTCAACTGATCTGTGCTTTGCTGACTTGTGAAGCTTTTGGTGACATGCCCCAAGTGAACAGAGTACCCTGAGGCTGACACATAAGCTAAAGAATAGCATTTCTTTAAAGCAACTAAACAAGCCATGTATTGTTACAAAAACCACTACACTAACATGGAAGGAAACAAAATGCTTCTTTTCTTTAGTCGATAGCAGGAGCAGATGACCCATTTACTGCACAATTCTCTTTATGTTTGGCATTTGTATCTTGGTTCTCTTCTTTGTTTACAGCTAATACAAGGTACTCAGTGAAGCATACTTTTTAATTTATTAAAAATTACATTTCTGCAGAATGTGTTAATCTTCAAGGAAACTGAAAAGTGCAAGAATGTAATTGTTAGTCCCAGCTGCGCATACAAAGGGAAAGTCAGACAATATTCTCAGTGATGAGTCCTGGGAAGAAGGCTACTTTACCAGAGGCTACTGAGCAAGGCATTCACCTTGTAAAAGAAACTCATGTTTCACGAGACTACACTTAAGAAAAACAGTGGTCTTCTTTCATACGAGAAAGCAAAGTATGCTAACCAGTCATTTATAAATGTATTACTGAAAAGTCTGATCACTCAGTAGTGCTGGCAAGTTCCAGGCTCCTGAACAGCTGTTGTACGTTTGATATAGGCCATGAATACACATAGAGGTCCAACTAAAAATATCTCTTCAGAGTTATTTGATATTAAAAAATCTTAGGAATGATGAAACTAGCATAATAAATTCTGAATTCAAAAGTTGCATTAAAAATTCAACCACATAATCTTCTTGCTCTATAATCTCAGACATATTAGTATAACCATTCATATAAATCTTTTTTCAGATGTCAGTGGATAATTATAGGAACACAGAGTGGGTCCTCAGCTGGTGAAAATTGTTATAGCTTCACAGGAGCCAATTTATGCCAGCTAAAGTTCTAGTCCATAAAATCTCTTCTAAACCTGAAAGAACATCTTGTACTACAGTGTTATTGGTCTTCAGGTGATTGAAAACAATCTTGATGAACAGTTTGGTCTCAGGGGAAAAAAAAAAAATAAGAAGATTATGTGACAGATTTCTGTTCTATGTCCCTTTATTTAAGTTGATTAAGAAGATGTATTTCAGAAAAAGCTTGCATGGTAAAACACACCATTAGTCACGTGCTGCTTTTCAATAGTGAAACCATAAATTTTATTATAGATGTGAATAAGTGCAAGATGTCTAATTATAATTGGAACATTAGCCAAGAAGCAGATGGCAATTCTGATTAAGAGCATACCTCCTGGGTATATGTTGTACAAGCAGTATTTCTAGCAGATAAGAAAAGGTTATCAAGCCTTTTTACAATATACACGTAAACCAGATATAAACACAGTAATGCAAGCTTGAATATTATTTTTGGAAGCTGCTTGTTTAAGAAAAGATTCTATTTCGTGTAAGGTAGGCAAACATCAGCCTCCATGCAACACAGAGTAGGTGTTCTGTCTGTTTCATATAAATAATGGATCAAAAAGAACAATCTGGATTATCACTTTTTGAGTTTAGGATTAAAAAAAAAAATTCAGAACACCAGAATAGACATGCGTGATAGCACTGTGGCAAATGAAGTAATGTGCAAATTCTGGGTGTTATGGGGAAAAATGTCAGATTCACTGATTTGGAAGAAGAATAACAATTTTTCTTAAATGGGTTGTTTACATTTTATGGTTAACATATTCAAAACTTATATTCTGGAACTTAATTTTGGGTAATTTTTAAGATAAAAACATTTTACAAATACCAGGCGATGCCACTTTCCTTACGCACTGCAGCAGTAACAAACATAGCCATGCTAAAAAATAAATATTCCCTTCACTCTAGAAAGTCACATCAGCATACAGTATAACTTGTATGCTCTGGATATCATTTTCTTACATCACTTTTCCATCTTTCTCTATAGTCCTTGAAATTTCCATTCCCTGTCTTCCTATAACCTGTGTTGTGCACAGCTTTTGGAGATCTTGGCCTTTACTGGTGTTACCAGTGAGACTGAATGCAGAGCAGTCTCACAGGTCATCCTTCCGGACAGACAAGAAGTCAACTAAGGTGTCCCAGTAGTACCCTGTTTAACTCAGATCCATTCTCTGATTCACCAGTGGTCTACTATGAATAACTAGAACATACTCTTTTTTTCTCTGGAATGGTTTTCCTTGGTAGTTTTGTAGCACTTACTTATAGCATCTCACACAGGTTTCCAGTGGCAAAGCCATTTAAGTGTGTGATGGAACATGCAGCAAGTAACTGTGAGTGGCTGTTCTATAGTCCTTTTAAGTACCTATCTCCATTTTTTCTATTATAATGCATCAAAGGTTCTTTCCCGTTACACTTGCTATAGAAGGAACTAATTCTTGAAACAATTTAGGTTATGTATTCGTGGAATTTCTTATATTCTATACAAATATTAACCAAGAGGAGATAGTGGCTCAGCTAAAGTTGGTGACTTCCGTAAGTGACCAGAAAATCGTATTGAAGACTGCAAAGATTACAATTTCAGTATTTGGATTCATAGAAAAATTATTTATCAGGAGATTTCTAATGAGCATTGCATTGCAGAAGATGCATTCTTTTCTTTATGACCAGATAAAAAGGAAATTGGAACTATTCATGTAAATCATATAAATCAGATCCAGGAAAAATAAGCGCAGTACAACAATGAATAGTGTGGCAACATTAGAGAGGGTACTGTGAGCAGCTCCTATCCCCCAGAATATAAACACATCTGCTCTCTGTGGACTAATGTGCCATAGCATGCAATTTTGCGCTACGTAAACTCATCTTGAATATACACTGTGGATATTCTCCTTTGAATACTGGATAATTATTCCCATAACACTGCTTAACTCTGTCACCATTATTGCTGATGTTCTTTCAACAATGCTACAAGATAAATTAATGCTAGCAATGATTGATGTAGAATTGCCAAATGAAGCATTGCAAGGAAAAATCCAGGTCTGGGTACCCTCCTGCTTTTGTCTCCTCCACATCTCATTTTTCCTCTTACCAATTTAAGCAACCATAGAATAATCTAGGTTGGAAAAAAACATTGAGCTCATCAAGCGCAACCATCAGATCATTGAGTCAAATCCTTCCTAAGATGTTTGTACCGCCATTTTGGTTTCCCAGCATTGTCTATTGATAAGTAAACCCAAAGATGGATCTCTACAGTCCAGGCAATCTCATAAACATCCAAGTTTGCTTGGTACCTAACGTATCTACCACACTATTCCTGAGCAGTTCCTTTCTGCAGAAAAACTTAAATTCTATCTCCCTTACAAAGTCTCTACTTCATTGATTATTAGTGATTGCTGCAAGTCTGTGCTAAACCATACCGCCAATTTCCACTAGTGCTAACTCTGCTGAAACACAGCATTTCCTATCCACCACCACAGCCTGAATTCTTGCTGAAGGTTCTGTAATGCCATCTAGAGCATCTCTTCCCTTTCCCCCTCAAACTCAAATCTGAAGGAGTTTGTTCCACCTGCACACATTGTCATCTGTTAGAAAGATAGAAAGTTCTGGAAAAAGTTTTGATTCTGTAGGACTATTTAGATGACAACATTATTCACTTAAATCATTCAAGAATGTAGAAGAAAATTTACTGCGTCAGAGGCCTCTTTCAAAGGAGAACTGCACAATGTTGTAAAATAACATAAGTGAAGTACAGTAGGAACCTATCTGGCTGGTTATATGCTAGCTCAGGTATGCAGGTAACAGTAGAAGTTGGCAATATTAACCCATATATGATGGTAATGGAACAGATAATGAAAATGCATGTTGATTTTCAGCCAATGCTGACGCCTGTGCTGCCACAACTACATAATAATTGCCAAATAGGTTGTTTGAAATGAGTTAGGGTAAGTCTCAGGAACAATGATCAATGTGGGAAAATGATGATGCTCCAGACTGATGATGACCAGGCCCTCAGAGGAGCATTTTGTCTTGCTCATTGGAATCCATTCCATGGCAACGTATGCTAACTACTTGACAGACATTTTTGTCTTGTCACACCTTGCAGTTCACATCAGTTCACTACAGCATTTACACACCTCATCTTAATTAAAATTCTGCATTCATTTCCAGTATAAAATACATTGTATTCGTAAGAATCCCTTTTCTGAAATTACTTCTCTAATTATTGCATACATTTCATTATGATTAGCTAGTTGCCAGTGGAGAGAGATGTTAATAATTGTACTTCACTAATGATTTTGTTGTGATAAAAATGTGTCCACTAAATTTGAAAGGAAATATTTAGCAATTTTTCAAGAGCAATTTTATCAGTTTATCATATAAGAGTATTACATTTAGAGTTTTAGATGTTTCTCATACCAAGATTTGTCTACATTAATGAAATATTTAGATTAACCTTCAGCTCTCACAGTTATTTCGCAATGTATTCAGGCTGTGCTGTTGACCAACCAAATTTGAGTTAGCTACCCATGGCCTTTAGCAGTATTTCAGAGCACAAATACCCTCGAGTCTACTGCGTTCAGAGCTGAGTACTGTTGAGCAGGTAAGAGGATCCAATTCCAAATTACTTCCACCACAAGTGGCACAAAATAAAAAGGAAAAGGCAGGAAATAGGCAAATTGTTTTCTTTCCCAAAAAATGAAGAAGTGGGCCACTGCACGGGAGAGTTAATGATTAATAGGCAATGGAATTCTCACAAAGCATTGATAGTTCTGTCCTTTTTCTCATCTATCGGCAGATTTTGGCAGTCAATTACCCAGCTCTCATTCAGACAAAGAAGAAATGAAAAGTCTGCAACTTCTCTCTATTTTGTTGATTTCTTGGATTATCATCCCAACAAATATACATGGAGGAAAGAAAAAAGGTAATATTCCTTCCAACATAATGATTTACTTTATTTGAAATGTTTGTTATGAAATGTAATAGCATTGAATACCCAGCAATCAACAAGTTCGAATGCTTTTCTTGTTTGTTTGAGAGTGTTCCCTTAATACATATATACATATATAGCTGTCTCTGATTATTGGAAAATATAGTTGCTGGTAATGAAAATAAAACTTTCTCAATTGAAATCTATACATTCCAGTATAGTCTTCAGGTAGATTGACCTTTAACAAAACTTCTGCTAAAGGCTATATTAAAAATGCATTAGTTTGAAACTATACACTGAGCTGGTCGCAGTTACAGTCCTCTTGGTGTGGAAGCATTCCATTCAGTCTCTTGCTATGAATAAAAATCTCTAGCTGTCTGACAAAGTTGAAGTTTTCAATTTCTGAACTGTCTTTCACTTCAAGTGAGCGATAATTCTTGAGTGAAAGGGAGGTATCTGTGCTATGTTTATTTGGTGAGAGAAATACTGTAGTACTGTGGAAGATCTTTACAGGATCTTTATCATTTACATTGTTGGGGTTTTTTTTGTTGTTGTTGTTGGGGTTTTTTGTTTGTTTGTTTGTTTGTTTGTTTTGTTTTTGGTTTTTTTTTTACATTTTCTGTGCCTGTGATAGTACACATTAAGACAGTACCCACGAGATTGCTGCACTAGGACAATGCATCACAACTGTTTCTTAAATCTCTCTGTTGTGCCTGACAAAGACAGTTTCATTGCTGCCCTCACTGCTAAGCTGTATGTTGCAACTGTTGGTTTTCCTCCTTATCTGACTTCATTTCTAATACTGGAGGGGTTAAACGTAACTTTTTCCTCAGCTGGAAGTAAAACAAGATTAGCTCATTCACAGAAGCGTCACTTATTTTAGTAACTGCATTTCGCATTTATGTTAATTCCTGTTAACAGTCATAAAAGCAATTAGCTATAAAAATGCCTATATATAATTGGCACAGACCACTTTTCTTTGATTCTGCACACTAAACTTCACTTGGGGTTTCATTTTGAGGAATATGAAATCTTGATCTAAAACACAATGAGAACTATATATTTCAAACAATGTCATAACTTGGCTCCCCATGGCAGCAAGGCCTGCACACCTCTGTGTAAGCTGCTAAATCTTAGCAAGATAGTCAGAAATCTTCATCAGATTCTGTATGTTTAAGAGAACCAAATCATAGCTCTCATCTCATGCCAGCTCACACTCTACTACCCTCACAGTCTGTGGCACTCTTACAGCAAGGTCAGCCACTTCACTCGCTCTGTCTCCCTTTCCCCTCATGACCTAGTACTGCCATCTCAGTGTGCTTGTTTGCTCACTGCTGCTGTAGCTTCAACTCTAGCTTGTGGGCTGCAAAAGACTGCTCGCACATCATCTTAGCACTAGTACAGTCACCTAAATGATAGTGCATTGAAACAAAGTCTGTGACTTAAGAAGCAACTCAGCTACATTGGGAAAATTTTGGAAAGAAAATGTCTGGAATATGTTCTTACAGAGCCTAAGTAGCTCTGCTGCTGATAGTCAGAAGTTTAAAGGCCCTGGTAATTCCATGATGTTGAAGTGAGACTTTCATCTCCTTTAAGTCTTAAATCAGTACAACTAATTCTAGGAATATGTTTACATTAAAGCCATCTTTTGTCCCTTCCCCAGTCCAACAGCTACACTGGCTTTGTGCAGGAGCTGGTATAGATGATCTCACAGAGCTCTGCCCCATTGCTGCAGATGATCTGTCTGCATAGCTCAGATAGTTCTATGATCAAAGCAGTTCCACCTAGCACCAATCTCAGTGAGGTAGATATGTGAGCCACAACAGAACAGTAGCAAAGCATTAAACTTCACTAAGGAAGGGCAGTGTGGATTTTAACCTTTTGTGAGAGGCCTTTTAAGTAAAGACAGCTTCCAGTAAGCATGGTACATGTTGCACCTAAATATTCTGAAGCTTGCTTGTTCCTACCTTAGCAGAAACTACAGCAATAAACAGACATTATGGAGACACAAGGCCTTCTGAAAGCTGTGACTGGCATGTAATTTTGGCATAAACAATTGCCTATAAAAGAACCATCCATTAAAAGAATAATCAGTCTGTACGTCCCCCTCAGTTGTTTGCACTCAGTTATTTGCACTCTGCAAATAAACTCTGCTTCAATTCTTTTCTGTAGTGGTCTACTCATCTGCGTGGTAAAATAAATTACATTTACTATAGCTAGGTATATGCAAAGCTTTTTCTTCAAATTAAATAATTTATGTTTATGTCTATATTACAGGTTCTTAATTTACAGTTTCGTAGAATAAGATGGATTGCATAACATATTTAAAACACATATAGAAGCTATTAAAAAGCTACAGAGTGCTTCTGAAATGCCAGTGTTCTCTTGTATATTTACATAGCTGGAAAAAAGATGTTGCTTTTTTTTTTTTTTTTTTTTTTTTTTGCAAATGTTCATTATCTAAATACAGCATCCCACGAAAAGACTAGAAATAACCACCTCAAAAAAAAAAAAAAAAAAAAAAAAAAAAAAACACAAACAAAACAAAGCTAATTTTTTCTTTTAGAAACGGAATGGAAATAATATGGAAAAAGTATTTTAACATAAGCTCTCATTTACTTTGATTCTTCTCCAAGAAAAATAAAATTCCATCGCTAGGTGTGGTGGAAATGCTAAGTCGTGGCTTGAACCAGTGATTGAGAACCTGGTGGGAAGGCAAGGCCAACCCAGGGGAGTTCACGAGTGTGCAATGCAACACACTGAGTGACTGGAAGGAGTGAAGCCAGGATTAGCCCCTCCCCAGACCTAATTTAAGGGTTGGCAGTGGTGGCAGGGGCACCTCTACAGGAATTGCTGCATGCCTAGGGCCTTCTGAAGATAAGCACATTCTTCTATTTATGTGCCCACTGCTGTTGTGTTTGAGCAAATCCTCACTTCCTGTGTCCTGGGATCTTGCTGCTCTCCTGTCCTTGTTGTGCTTTCCATTGCATTACGCTACATGGGAACATATTTTAATATGCCACCGCATTGTTCAGATCAGAGGAACTCAGTAGCTGACAGAAATGCATACAGTCTGCGCTTTTGATGTGAGGGAGTCACAGCTGGCTGTTTAGCTGGACTTTTGTGTCCAAAAGTGAGTGTAACACCTTTAGGATTATAAAATACACCATGGAAATAGATTATGCTGGAACTTCAGTTATTATTTTTTTGTTATTCTCCAATCATATTATAGCTAGAGACATAAGAGATTTGTTAGGAACATCAAATTCTCCAAAGCCTATGTAGAACTCCTTAGTAAAATGCACTGTACATGGAGTATTCTGAACAAGTACCAAGATAATTGTTTCTACATGAAGCTGAAAAAATACTAGCAATATAAGAGACTTTCAGGATATTTAAAAGCTGTTTGAATTGCAGAAAGAAATCAAAAGTCTGCTAAGATGATATGATGACCTTTAACACTGAAGGTGAACATCACTTCCACCAGCTTAGAGTTCTTAAGAGTTCACAATAAATACTAAAGATTAAATAATTTTCCCTGAAGTGTATTCACTGTAATAATGACCTGCGCCCTAACTTTCCACTCATTCTATGTGATTTGGGTACTGTGTTATCTGATACTAGCTGACAGCAGAACAGAGACTAAAGCCAACAAACTCAGAGGACACAAGTGATCCAGTCTACTAGTTTGAGAGTTAGAATTTGCCAGCACAGACTGAAAGCAAACTCTATTCCTTACCTCAGACAGAATGGCACAGTGATCTCTTTCTCTGATTTAAACTCCTTAGCTAGCATGTTTTGCAACTACAAGTTCAAACTCAACTTGGTCAGGTTCATTCATTCTTAAAGAAAATACTTTTGTTTTCTTATTTTGTTGTACAGCCCACGTTACACAACTTCATTTTGAAAAGACAGTAATGCCTAATATGTGTGGAGGTTTGGCATTAGCAACAGGGTTGCATTGGAGCAGTGCTACAATCCTGATGATGTAGTTCATAAGAGCGTATGGTCCCTGGGGTGGCCTGAGCACAGTGACCTTTTTCCTATATGTTAGCTAGAGTTAGGAGACTTTTCACTGAAGCTAAGACATACTCATACAATAGGATAGCTTGGCAGCAGGTGGACAGACCAGCAGCTGCTTCCAAAAAGCATGATTAAGATTTCCTGGCAGCATTTGTAATAACTCATGAAAGAGACAGAAGGGGACATCTATCTGCACATGCCAAGAACGGGTGATAAATTTTCCTGCTTTGGCAACAGGCCAAATGTGAATTACAATTCTTTCTACATAAAATTTATGCTTTTGATTCAAGCAAAGAAAAAAAAATTACCACATTTGCACTCAGTAGCCTCTTCCAATGAGACACTGGAACAAGTTGCCCAGCGAGGTTATGGATGCCCCATCCCTGGAAGCATTAAAGGCCAGGCTGGGTGGAGATGTGAGCAACCTGGGCTAGAGGAAGGTGTTCCTGCCAATAGCAGGGGGTTGGAACTAGGTGATCTTAAATACCTTCCAACCCAAACCATTCTGTCGTTCTAGAAAAAAAAAAATAAATCACATTTTGAAAAGCTGATTGTACATCTTACGCTCATGGATGGTGCAGGGAAATGGAAAATGCAGTAAACCAATATCTTTTCTCAAACTGTGCAGGTAGCTGCTCACTCAGTCCAGAACTGTGCACCTGAGCAAGTCAGATCGACCAGCTGAGGCAGACAAACAAATATTCTTTCACTGATTTTTGGAATGCCCTTTAACAATAAAAGCCAAAATGCATCTAAGAGCACAAGTTACGGCAGGTTAAGAAGCTAACAAATGCAACAGCCTAATCAAATACTTATTTTAATAGAGGAGCAGGGCTGGCATTCCATGTCCATCCACCTCTAAAGAAACCCAAGGCCTTCAACACCTGATTGTGTTGGTTTTGTTTTTTTTATTTTTAAATTTAATCTGTCTTCTGAGATGACAGGTGAGACTTCAAAATCTTTTGAAGTAAAAGGGAAAGGTTGTAATTAATGATACATTTAGTGACATTAACCACTTAAACAACCCTTGCTTCATTCTCTGGTGGCAATTAATTCACAAGCCACTTTGCTTGTCGCAAAACAGCTTGGAAACGGATCCTGTTTGAAAAATAGTACTATTTTTTTTCCTGGTCATCTTCTTTTTTAGCTGGATTGGTTTCCTCATTTTGTTCGCTGTGTAACTGAGCAAAAAGCTGTAACGGGACAATGATGGGGATCCATGGGAGGCTAAGAGTGAGTAGCAGGCATCAGGATGGGGATGGATCTGCTTAGAGTTGCTCCGGTAGCACTGAAACCAAATGACTAATGAGGAACTAGAGACTCCAGTCAAGGAGTCCCCCTTTTAAGGTTTACTTCACCAGAAGAAAAAAATCAGAAAATAAACCTAATAACAACTCATGTAAATTTAATGTAAAATAACTGTATGTTTATTTTCTGTCTAGTGTTATTTACACAGGAAATATCTAAGGCAATCTCCTTGAAAATGCATTTATTTTCTGCACCTCTCACAAACTATTAGCCAGATAAAATAAAAATCTCACACCTCAGAGCTTTTTGGGAACTTGTTCAAATTAAAGCTTTGATTTCCTTCAGACTCAGTACATATTTCAGCAAATTAACCATGAAAAAAGGCCCAAAACCAGATAGAAAATGTTTAACTATGAATAATTCAAATCCTATTCTAATTGCTTTCCTAATATTATTTCTTGCTTTAACAAGGCTATTTAGCTAGAAGTACAAATCCCTCTAATAATGAAATTGGAAATCGGGGTAGCATTTTTGTGAGATGTCTGTCTTTTCCTTTTTTTGCTTCCTCAGCATCACCCACTTAGCTAATTGTATACAAACACTGAACAGAACCGTGAAGGCATAAGCATCCCTAATCAGACGTGTGCACTGAAACAAAATCTCTACCCTTCAAGGACAGGGTAAATTCTGTTAGGCATTTTAAAGCCAAGGCAGGTCACTGAAGTTATTATTAGCTCAAATTAGCACTCCCACAAGCTGTTGAATTCTTCACCTGCAGCCAAAAGGCACTCAATATGGTGCAGAATTTGCTAATATCTTTGAAAGAATGAGAGAAGTAGCTCCTCTTTAGAAACATAGAATAGACTTTTGATAAAATTATAGCTGATCTATGTACCAAATGGTCTACAGAAGCAGGAATATAATTGATGAAATTGTTCCAAAGCAAAATAATTATAAATGCCTAAACAGAAACTTAACAAGAAAAAAGATGACATCTGACCTTACTAATGACAGTGGTGCTATAAATTTATACTTTCTGACAGGCTACTTTCAGACAAATAATTCATACCTCCATCTCAGCTACAACACTATTCTTTTATATTAGTGATTTATATAGGAATTTGAAGACAAGTCTGTATAAAAACTGAGTTCCTCCCTCTTGTGAACAGTCCCCACTCCCACCAAGAATTACAGAGATCTGAGCTGACTCACAGAGCTCCAAAGATAATGCTGATTCTAATTTGAAACAGGTTAAGAACTGATGAAAGCCCAGTAAGCCATCACTTTTGTATGTTAGGCGCATCTCTAACAAACTACTGTAACAAAGAAGCCTGACAGTAATGTTCATTAGTAAGAAGCACTTCTACTTTTAAGATAGAATATTAGGAGGATATATTTGAAAGAGAGGAGAAAGCAAATGTGTTAAAATCTATTTTGAGTCTACAAGATAATCCACAGTATGACTGACACCTAGTGATAAATTTTCTACAAAAAGTGAAATTGTAACAGGAGGTGAAAAACAGAGTATTATGAAAAATAAGACTAAAAATATTTTTTTACACAACCTAATAAATAGGAACCTGGCACCTAACGGATTTAACTCCGAACCACGCCATCATTCTCTAAAGGAAGATGGAGAAAACAATGAAGTCTGAAAAGATACAGGCAAATTGCTTTCCTAATTACTGCTCCTCACAAAAGCAGAGAGAGTCTAAACGCTGCCAAATTTGCAAAAGGGCTGAAGCCCAGCACAACTGGACACACGTGTGCCCTGAGCCAGTCCCCAGGTAGCTCAGCATCAGATCGGGGGTTGCCCATGCCACGTTCCTATTTGTGTCTTTCACTAGGAGGAAAGTGTGCAGCTCCACCACAAACTTCATTTGCCACTGCATTTTCGTATTCATTTTCATGCAGCCAATGTCAAATAATAGAGCTGGAAATAAGGCCTGTAAGATACCCACTGGTCACTGCAGCACAACACACCAGGCACTGTGGCTGCAGCACTTAACTAGGTCCTTTCAACTGTGCCATGCTAAAATTTTACAGAACATCACAGCTCCAAAGCACCTGTAATATTAATGGTCACAACCTTAGCACAATCAGTTTTATTATCTCTATTTTAAATGAGATACCAAAAAATACAATTGAACCAAGATTCAGGTACTATCAGACAGTACTCAGTGACAAAAATGGAATCCAAACCTCTAACTTCACGGTCCCATTCCTGAAGACATTATTTTGCCATTTTCTTTGTTAATCTACAGACAGCATTGCATTTCTTCTACAACTAACATACAGGTATCATCAGAATACAGGTCTTTACCCTTGGTAATACTACCTTTTGGAAGATGAATAAAGGTTATTACTGTTCTATGGTACCACTTTTTTAACAGGAACTGCCCTGAACTGAGCTTATCAGTAGCCACAAATGAAATCTGTCATTGTCAGAATTAATCAATAATGGGTCTTGCAGCAGAATCTGAAACAATGAAATGAAAATGCACTTAATCATTGTATTTGTAGATTCTTACCATTCAAAAGCAACTTCATAAGATCTTTTAATTAAAAGTGAATAGTTGACACACTGAGCAAGACTTGGAATTTTTTTTAAGCTATGTTACATCAAATCTATACAATACTGTTCCTTTTTAAAATATTTACAGTGTGTAAATTAATTATATGGTCTGTTGGCTGACACACCTAAAACAAACATGTTATAATTTTTATTTTAGCACTGTGAAACTGAATGAAGCTGGTGAGAGAATCTTATAGTCAGAAAAATATTTTGTTCTGGTAACAATACTAAAAATGCAAGTTTTCCCCTCTTGATGGTATGTCTAGAAAACGTTTATATAGAACAATTTCTACTTCTTTGCTTAAGAAAGTTTCCCCATTACCTTAGAAACACAACACTCAAAATGGAGTGGTTTTTCACTGTCTCCAACTCATATCTCTCCTTGCCAGCTACTCCTTGCTCCTGCAATCTCCCTGCAAGGCACACCCTAATTGCAGCTTGAACTGCAAACCTTCCCACCCTGAGCCATGCACCCAGCTGCTGCAGCTCTGTGACTCACCCCCAGGCAGTTCATGCATTTTTCCTTTTTGGAAGGCTTGTGTTTGACACTGATAAAAAAAATAGAAATGTGAAGACAACAGCTGTACATGAATGTAGGGTCACAGAAACCAGTAGATTCCTGCTGGCAGACACCCTATGCCTACCTGCCACCACACATGCTTTCCAGTGTCATTCCCTTTCATTGCAGGAGCTTTGGAGAGTACCTGGAACTGTAGGAAGAAAGAAATCTAATCTTCACAGTCAGGATTTAGGCTCATTTAAAATATCTTTGAAACGTGGCCATGTCCCAAAAAAAGTCTGTCAGTTCAAGTTCGATTCTTCCTAACCCTGTTTATAGATTGGAACTCCTTCACCTCACACTCACTGAGTATCTTGCGAGCAACATTTTATTTTTAGAAGATTCTTTTGCCTGACAGTTTTGCAGACTCTACTCAACCAATCTCCTGACAGATTCAAATTAAAAACATGATCATTAAATACAGAGAAGTATTTTGTTCTGTCATAATCTTTGGCTGCCTGGAACATCAGAAGCTGTTATAAAGAAACTGATAAAGAAACTGAAGAAAGATACATAGAAGTTTGTCTGCATTAATTAATCTGCTGCAAGACGGCTTTTAGAGAAAGGCCTATCCAAGGCAACTTTAAGGCAGCCTGTGTAAGATTTCATTTAAAGAGACGTTTATTCTCTTGTTCCAGCTCTCATCGGCTCAGACTGCAATTCTGATTTCTGTGGCTCCTGTCCTTACTTTCTCCAAAGCACCCAGAGGTTACTGCCCTCAGTAAACAGGTCCTGTGACTCACATCAAACAGTCTGTAGGATTTACAGCTCAAGTAAATCAGGAACAGGAAAAGACAATTCAGGGTTCTTGTAATGAACCCTTTATTTTGCTGAGCAAAATTTTATCAGAGGTGCCATAAGTTTTCCTGTGTCTCCGGACTTCAAAGGCCAGTATTTCTTTCCCCACAAAATACTGTCTTTCTTTCAGTCCTGCTGAAAGTTAGCTTCACATTCACACTGGCAAACAGATCAACTATTGAGTTCTCTCAGAAGACTTATTTTATCCTATGAATCAGCAGCATCTTCCTTAGATGCCCTCTCCCCAGATCACATGCACAACAGTATCACATGGATAACCACTACAGCATTTTGTCTGGATGCATAATATCCAGTGAACAAGCCTGAGGCATGTCTGGACCAAAACCAACTCAGCAGTAGCAGTATTTACACTCATAAAAGAACATATTCATATTTCAAAGCTTGATCAGCATTTGATTTATGCCGCTGGGTGGAGTTATCTTTCAAAGTGGCACAGAGCAAAGCACAACACCGCTGAGCTTAGGCAGGAGAGGTGAGAGGGCCGAGGACTGCTGGTGAAATGGATGTGAGTACCATGACGAGAATACCTACATTGCACATTCCGCATATGGTGGGTTGTCCCAGCATGTTCCCTGCATGCTGGCCAAACCCTCACTTTGCTGACGTCTTCACACCTTGCAGAGCCAAGGACAAGATTAGGAAAACTCACTCAACTGCACTCTGTTGCCTGGGAGATTTAGAATAGTTCAGTGCTTAACAACAGCGCTGAACAATTCTCTATTCTAGAATGAAATGCTACAGGGAACTTCTTTGTGTGTTATACTATCATTCTACGTTCAGTAGAACATAACAGTTACTTGATTGGAGGAATCAGGGAACAGAATTACAGAAGATATTTTGGAGCAGCTCACGATGCATCACTCCCCCACATATAGCCCTAGGCAGCCTCTGCCCTTTGGGATGCTGTTGTGCTGCAGATACTCAGCATGCTTCCTGTCCAGAGGAATACATGGTCCAAACAGAACTCATTGTAGCAAGGTTATGAACTAGTTTTCATGTTTTCTTTGCAAGTCACTGAAAAAAAAGAATAAGAAACCTGTGAATATATACATATGTATGTATGTGTCATTTCCCATTCTGCATTCATTCCAGCTCCAACACAGACTGGCCTGAGAATTTACAGCAGAAAGCAATATCCCTTTAAAGTTTTAGGAACAAACAATAGACTAAGCCATTTCAACCTGGATTTCAGTATAGCAGAAAAACAGCTTGACAGACTTCAGCTGTGAACTTCTGCCTAATACAAGACTGTTACAATCAGAAAGATTAACACGGTGGAAGGGCAATACAGGAGTATGTAACAGCAAAGGGACCAGCACAGATGTCATAGGATGGTATTTCAAAGCAAAAGCAAAGGTGCTCACCCACTCCAAAGATCTAGGCTCACAGAAAAAACTCCATGAGGGAGAGATCTCCAACCAGAGAACCTTCCCATGACAGTCAGCTCTCCAATGAGGTCTAAGAGAGGTGCAGCCAGGCTCCACCCCTCCCAGTCACACAGCTGAATTGCCTTCACCTGTGCTCCCAGGGCTGACCAGGTCCTTTCCACAGGTGCTCACTCAGTGGTTCAGGCTGTGACTCAACAGTTACCAAAGACAAGATTAACTTCTTTCCCCTTTGTGTCATTTTCCAATTCTCATGCAATATAAAAGGATATTTTAATTATATCAAGAATTTGGAGGAAAATATTTAAACAGTGTATATCTTCTTCCACAAATATTTCAGGCATGTAACTTAGGTAAATGACTTTTCAATATCTGAAATGCATCAGGAAATGCTGAGCTGGGAGGGCTGTACTGGAGACACAGGAATCCTACAGCAAATGTGAAACAAACTGGTATATCAGTTCCACTGGTGACCATCCTACAGATGACAAACGAATCTGACAGATATGAAACAACCAGAATGATAAAGCTTAGGAATAATGGAAAGTTGTGCTTTTTGTTTGTTTGTTTGTTTTTGTTTTCATTTTGGTTCTAGCTAAAATTGCAAAAATGCTGAAGGACTATGAGAAATGCAGCCCCTGTGATATCTCTTGCCTTATTTCTGGGATGCTCCCAGCATGTTCCAAAGTTCAAAGCCTGAAATGCTGGGATATACACACAAACACACAAAATAACCTCAGTTATTTTAGTTCAGTTCGTTGTGGCAGACAGGGAAAGTGCAGCTGGCAAAAGTGGGTGAATGTTTCCTAGGATGGTTTTACAAAATAAGCCATCGTGCCAGAGATTGTGTCACTCCTTGCAAAGCTCTTACATCAGCCAATCTTTAGTTATCTGGAAAAACAACCTGTTGAGCTAAGGTGGGACAGAACCTCTCCCAATACAGAAACCTATGCGTGTGACAGGGTGGTAATAATTGGTTAATTAACAAAAAAACCCCAAAGTAATCCTCCACTCCTACAGCCCAAAAGCCCTTGTCCAGGACTAAGTAAATTGCAAAGCCATGAATAAAAGAAGCAATAATGTTGTGAAGGCAGTACACTTCGTACAAAATGAACATTCATTTTAAGTAATAATCCTTACTATATTTCAGTGAACGTGTCCCAAAGGAGGACTACTAACACAGAGCACCAGCTCAGATTAGACACAACATCACAGAAGCAACACTTATTGAAAAGGACAGAAAATCTGCAGTATAAAGTTAGAATTCAAAATACTTATAGTATAAACACTATAATTACATAACAGCATAATTACATTTAATTACCTGAAAGGTTAGCAAAGAAGTACTAAAAATAAAGGAAACTTCAGTTAATGGAAGGCTTTGCTGATAGGTTGGTCAGGTTCAGGTAGAAGAGAATGTTTTCTCTTTTTTAAAAAATATCATTCAATGCGAATCCATGGAGAAAATTATGGGAGTTATTAAATTCAATGTAGAGGAGTAATTGATGGACCTAATTCAAAGTGGACTGAGCAGAGAGCAACTTCTCCTGCTTGCAATGCCAGTTATTTAGTTTAGGCTGTCTCCAATAAATCCGAACAAAATCCATGTTTCTGCTGTAAAATGGGATGAAGAAGAAAGAGGAGAAATAGCTTCACTACTTTCATTTCTAACAACTGACCTAGGCCCCATGGAAGAGGTGTGATACACCTCCAGCTGATAGCTACAGGAGCCTGAAAAGCAAGCAAGATTGACCAGTGTTCAATACAGATGTGAGTAGAGTATCTATTAACAGGTACACACTTTTTTGGAGAGGAAAACAACAACAAACAATCAAACCAACCAACAAATAGAAAAGCACCAAATAACCAAACACGAGAAGCTGATTTAATCACTAAATGCAATCACAGCAGTGCAAAGTCTATAACAGTAGACTCAGTGCGAAGAACGGATTAATAGATAGCAGCCAATATGTTCTCCTCATGCAGTTTGGGTTTATTTTAAATTCTCATGTTGTCTGCATTGCCAGGCTGAACTAGGAACACTCAAAATGCACAGATCAGCAAGGATAGCACCAGATTAAAATTTGAGTGTGGGGTGATGGGAAGGGTGCAGGAAGGGTGCACAATTGTCTTTTTTCTTTGGCCCTATTTTCTTCAATTAGCTTGGTAGAAGTTGCTTTTATACATAATTCAGCTATCAAAATCCACTTTTGTCACCTGCTGTTAAAAATCATCTTTTTCTTCCTTTTTTTTACTGTAAGATTTTACAGAGTAAATAAAAATAGCTGCTTTGGTAACTTGTCAGCATTTTGGAGCTGAAATGAATTCAGCCTTTTAGTGCAAAGTAAAATAAATGTAACTTCTCAAATCTTATTGAGAAATGCCTACTTAATATTCCTAGAAAATTAGCAATCCTTCTAAAAATAGGAAAATAACAGAACTTACTGTGCAGTGACTTTACTTAACCTCTATTTTCTTATAAAATTTACATTTCTTAAACATTCCAAGTCAAATAATTTCATCATTTCTTATTTACCTGAACTTCTTGCTGGGAAGTACCAGCCCTCATTACCAAATATCATCAACAATAAAAGTTACTCTCTAGATGTCTGTTTAGATAACGATGTTTCCCTAATGTTTATATCATGCTTACCTTCCTTGTTTTCTTCACGTGCTTTTCCATCAAAATCAGTATGGTTCTGAGTACACACAACACTCAGCTTCCATTGAAGTTTGTAACAGCTGTAGCAGTCATAATACTCCGTTATCACACGGTTCAGATTTTTGAATTTCTGAAAGCAGAGACATGGCAGAAAGATGCCACTCAATAATTCTTCCTTGTAAAAGCCATCGCTGGGAACTTTCACAGCAACACGTAGTCACAAAACTGCTAAGTTGGTGCTCAGTGAAATGGAACGCAGCAGCAACCTCCAAAAGCTACATTTCATTTCTGCTGTGGACTATGGCTAAGCTCACCTGTTCATTTAATATAAAATTTCCCTAGTTTCCTTCAAATCTATTACCCAACAGTTTCAGTCTAGTAAGAGCTATTTCTGCGATGAATTATTTTTTTCTAGACATTGTGTGAAGAAGAAATTGATCTAGGGTCTAGACACAGTAAAAAAATTATGGCTAAAAACGTTTTTCAGCTTTTTAAAGAGCTTTTTACCAATCTTAATCAACATTTTTTTGTCATTTCCTGCCAGTAAAGGGCAGAAAACAGTCTTTCCTGATTTCCAGAGTTAACAATTATATAGCAGTTGAAAAATCCCAAAATCCATACTATTTTTATTAAGTTTATGGGCGTCTGATAAACCCAGCCTGACTGCTGCACCATTAGAATACTTGGGTTGTTGGAGCATTCCTGTTGATTTTTCTGTGTGTTTTTCAACAGAGTCGCCAAAGGCAATCTGAGAAGAACTAGATAGTGAGTAGCAGAGGTGCCCCACTGGCATAATGCTGTGGGATTCACTCAGCAGCATTCACTGCTACACCACTAGCTGTAAAAAAACTAGCTGTGGGTGACATAACGATGCTGGT